TCTGCACTGCTGTGGTCTCTAGGCAGGCTGCTTGGCCCCTGACCTCACTTGGGGCTGGGGTTGGGTGAGATGCTTACTCCTCGTCCAAGACCCTGCAACTCCACAGAAAGCCCCTTACCTTTTTCAGCTACTGAGATGCTAGAGAGAGGGACTCCCCCTTGCATGATTCACCCCTCTAGCTGAGGTAGAGTCAGGAGGGCCAGAGAGGACCCTGCCAGGCTGAGGCCTCCTCCGCCAGGTCCCAAAGCCCATACCACTCCGTCTGTAGCTGCAACTCCCACCAGCACAGCTAATTTGCTGCTGCTGTTCCTGGGAAGTGACAGCAACTTGAAGCAAAGCAATTAGGATGAAAAAGAGGCCCAGCTGCTTGGGGCCAAAGGAAAATAAACAGAGCAGCTCTGTGTGTATCCCATTGCCAAGAGGAGCAATTCTTCACAGGGTGATTAGCGTTTCCCAGCCCAGCCTCTTCCTTTCTCTTGAGCCGCTGTTCTGGGAGCCCACACTTCCCAGGTGCATCTCAGACTTGACAGCCCCTCACTTCCTCAGAAAAGTCTCCCCTGGCACCTGCCCCCAGCACCAGCCCTGCCAGAAGTGACATCCCTCTCCTCCGAAATCTGAGAGCCTTTTTGTGGGTTTTCCATTGACTGAGGGATTAATAAATGAATTCATTTGTTCTTCCCACAGACATCTACTGAGCACCACTCATTCATTCAATAAATATTTCTTAAGCCCCTATCATATTCCAGTCACTGTTCTGGATCCTGGTGAGACAGCACTGAACAAAACAGACAAAAATCACTTCCCTTGTGAAGCTCAAGATATAGTAGGAGGAAAGTGACAATAAAGTGAAAATACAGCACAGAGACAATGCTAGATGCATGGAGGAAAATGAGGTAGGAAAGGGGAGTAGAACATGCTGAGAAGGGGAAGTAGATTTTAAACAGGTAGGTCAGAAAAGGCACCAGGATGACAGTGATATCCCAGTCAAGAACTGCAGGAGATTGCTGGGGATGTGTGGTGGCCAAGGGAGTGCCAGGAGCAGGGACACAGATGCAGCTCCCGAGCAGCGGTGTGCCTGGTGCATCTGAAGAAAAGCAATGTGGCCAAGGGAGAGTCGGGGAAGAAACAGGGCAGGAGGGCCTGAAAGGACCTGGGTTTCCACTCAAGCAGAGGAAAAGCCACCCAGGGAGGGCTGACTGGCGTTCTGTTAGAAGGCTCCACTGGAGGTTCCATTAGGGGCTGCAGCTGCTGTGAACATACTGCAGGGAGGCAAGCAGGGAATAGGCCTAGTTCTCCTCCTGCTTCTGCCCAGCAGGTCATGCAAACAAGACGGGATAATTTCAGGGAGAGGACAACCTGGGTGCAGGGCATCCAAGTCAGGGTCAAGAAGGTTTGTGGAAAACCGGAGAGACCCCCCAAGAGCCAGGCTGCAGGGCTGCCAAGAGATTCAGGAAAGTGATCACTGCTGCTCTGAAGTGTGTGTGTGTGTGTGTGTGTGTGTGTGTGTGTGTGTGTGTGTGTGTGTGTGTGTGTGTGTGTCACTCTGGAAGGACAGACTTCTGAGTGGGCCTCTGGCTGGGACAGGTTTCAAACTTGGCCCTCTGAACTAACTCCTGAGTGTCTCTGTAATCTGCCCACCTGCTCCTTCAAGCAGTAGTCAAGTCCAGGTGCTAGGGTACAGGAGGCTGAGAATCCCAAGTCCTCTATTCGAGTCCCAGCTCTTCCACGTAACTGACTGTGTGGCTCTGGGGGAGTTGTCCTGGCCTGCTGGTGTCCTCACCTGGAACCTCTGCAGAGGGTGATGGGCTGTGGAGACACACACCGGTTGCAGGTGGAAGGAGGCCTTAATCATGAGACCCTCGGGTCAGAGGGGAAGCAGGGGCTGGTTATGAAGGCCTCCCCCACAAGTCCTGAGGGAGGAGGAGTCTGTGAAAGGGCAAACATCCCCAGGGTCTAAACCAATCATTAACACCTTTGGGAACTAGGCCTTAGTCTCTCAGCTATATCCTAAGACAAGAGACTACAGGATAGGTACTTTTCTTATGGAAGAGGGAGGAGGAGGGGCTGGGCCCAAAAGAGCAAATGAACCCCAAACAGAGGCTGGAGTGCAGTGAGAAAGGTAAAAGGGAGGGGAGTGTTTAGGAGACTGTTGGAAACACCCTGTCCATCACAGAGCTGTCAGCAAAGCAGGCACGTGCCTCAGAAAACAAGCTTATGGCCTTGGGTTCAAAGCCAGGTTCTGCCACTTCCTAGCTGTGGCTCTTCCATTCACATGACCTTTGGTTGTTTTTTTTTTTTCTTTAAGAGGGGGAGTAGGGGGTGTTTCTGAGCTGTCCACCACTTACCATTGTTTTTTTTTTGAGTTGGAGTCTCACTCTGTCACCCAGACTGGAGTGCAGTGGCCGCTTCCGGCCACCACAGCCTCGACCTGCTGGGCTCCGGTGATCCTTCCGCCTCAGCCTTCCAAGTAGCCGGAATTACAGGCATGCGCTACCACGCCCGGCTGATTTATCGATTTATTGTAGAGATGAAGTCTCGCTGCCCAGGCGGGTCTCGAACCCGCGGGCTCAGGCAATCCACTCACCTCAGCCTCCCAAAGGCGCAGGATTACAGGCTGAGCCACCGAGCCCGGCTCACTTACCATTCTTAAAAGCTCAAATAAGTCAACTATGGGATAGCCCTCTGTGGACATCGTGTCATGTGCCGGTCTCAGGTGTTCAGCTCTGGTTGGGAGGCACGAGCAAGGAGGAAAATGCTCTGCATTGCTAAGAAAAATGATCCGCAACTTGGAAGTAAGAGGGCAGAAGGAAGACTGCATGTCCTTTCAATGTCACTTTGGGACCAGGTTTAACAGCAAAGAGTTAATTCTCAAGCGGAATACCTTTGGTTACAATTTACTAATGATCAGAACCCAGAGTTTGCAAAGTTACATGCTAACCTGAGGTGTGCACAAGCATGTACATGCATGTACATGAAGATACAGAGGTCTTTTGTTCAGTAGAGAAGCACAAAAATTATGGTTTTTATTGCTCTGTAAGATATCCACCAGCTTCGTCTCTAATGTAGCCAACTTATTTCAGCATGTCTCATTATACAAATTAGACTAATTATACACATCTCTGTCTCTCAAATGCTCTTTTCAACTAGCTTTGTCATTCTTCTGGTTCAGTACATTTTTGACACGTGATAAAATTATACTTTGACAGAACCTCAAGTGAGGGACTCTGCCATACTGTGTGGTTTTGGGCCAATCACTTAGCTTCTGAACTTCATGTATCTTATGTGCCACAGGGAGAGGGCACCCAACTCCCAGGCCCGAGGGAGGTCTGAAGGGCAAAGATGGATGTGAACATACTTGGCACATCATTCACAGGGTGCGAAAGTCAAGGTTTACAGGATGTGAAAAGTCAGTTTATGTTGTGACTCATCAGACCAGACTACTCCAGGGCTGGAAAGTTTCCGGCTTGAGAGGAATACATTCTCCAGGCTTGAGACATATGTCAGGGGAAGGGGCAGCGGGAGCACTGACACTGACACTAGCCTCCATGCCCAGAAGGTGTCATGCCGATGCTGTCTTCTCCACTTCTGGTGTGGCTACAATTTCCCATGGGTCTCAGGTCTTGAGGCTGGAGACCACACAAAGTCTGCCCAAGGACATGAAGAGGCTGCGAGTTGGGACAGGCATCTGCCCAGAAACCAGAGTCCAGTATTCTGAAGAAGGGATAAGAATCCGCATCTGACAACAGAGTCAGCACCAGGCTCATCACCTGTGGCCTCTGTAGGTGGGTTCTTTCAAGACTTCATCATTGTATTCTGCACACTGGGAAGTGCTCCAGCTCAGCGAATGAGGCTGGACCTCTGCCCTTACTATCTACACATATGTTTGCCCACACACAGACTGTCACAGCCAGGGGTCCAATGAGCAATGCAGGCAGCCAAGGTCAGGAAAACACAGAGCTGGATTGGCCAGTCCCACACAGAGAAGGATGATACCAGGTCAACAGAGAGAGAGGAAGGGAAAAGGCGACACCATCTATACAGTCAACTGCATTTTCATGGCCCAGGAATAGCTGGAGCAGAGGCTAGGAGGAGAGCAAGACCCCAGGGATACAAATGAGAAAGATGAGGCAGCACTAGGGTCATACCTTGAGTGACCCGAAGTCACAGAGGTTAACAGTCCACTGCTCCTGATGGCAAAATCGAGTGTGAGCCAAGAGCTTACACTGGGAGCTCCCTGAAGCCCTGCATTTCCAGAAGCCTCCTCAAGGGATCCTCTCTCCTGCAGGGCTCATTCCAGGTTCAGCTCAGTTATTACCTGCCGTCTCCACTGACAGCTGTCCTGCCTCTGGCAAGGCTCACAGTGACCCCTCCCCCCAGCCCCAGTCTTTCTCCTCTCTCTTCCTCTTCTCAGCCCCCAGTCTATGGTCTGAACCTCCTGTCAGTTATAAGCTTTTCTTCTCTGTTTTTCCTTTTCCCTGATTTCTTTGGTACTTTTGTTATACTGTGCATGGTTTCACATTTTTTTTTTCATGTTACCTTCAAATATTTGTGGATCAAGAGGAATGTGTGTAAACCTTTTTGTCCTGTAACTGTTAAGATTTTTTCTAGGCTAGACTCTAAGCTTTGAGGGCTCCTATGGGGCACCTACAGCTCTTGGTAGGCCTAGCACTGTGTTGGGCACACAGCATGTGCCTAACTTTTGCCCACTAATCGGTCGTTGACCCCCTTCTAGCTGTGCTCAATTACTGACCCACTGCACAAAAGCCTGGGTTATTCGGACCCTGGCTCCCCCACTCACCTTACTGACACTGCCACCCACCAGTTCTCAGCAGAGCCCAGGGGGCTGGAGAGAGGAAACCCTGGTGTCGTAACTGCTCCCTTAGCTTCCTGACATGGCCACACCACCAGAAGGCATCACACCTGGGTGTCCTACGGCCGGCCCCACTCAGCCACGGCTCAGGGAAGACAAGGGACATCCTCTAGTAAAGCCAGCCCAGAGGTCACAGTTCTGGCGTTGACGACGCCACGGGTCCCGCAGTGCCGGAGGGCAGCCTCAGGAAACACGTCTGCAGGGAGCCGGGCCTGGGGAAGCCGGCCTTCTCGCCAAGCAGGCGCCAAGTGCCGCCCTCGATGGCATAGAGCAGCGTGAACACGCGGTTGACCGTGTAGACAGTGTCGCCGCGCACCACGGCCGTGAAAAGCGCTCCTTTGCTATTGACGAACTGGCCCGGTAGCGCCGTCCACTGACCCGTGGCCAGGTTGAGGCAGTCGATGGCGCAGTGCAGGAAGTCGTCGGAGGGCCCGTTGCGCACGACGTAGAGGCTGTCGCGGTGGGCCACCATGCGGTGGCCGTAGCTCTGCGGGCGTCGCAGCTCGGCCACGGGCAGCCAGGTGTCGGCCCGCGCGGCGTAC